TTAACATCTCAGATGCATTCATCTCCATGAGGTAGTTTACCTTGAATTTGCATACCTCCCTTTATTTACCTAAGTCTTCAGAAACCCATTTCCTCTTCAATCTCCCTTAGTTCAGGTGAGTAAGGCTTACCTGTGCTGTTGTAAGCTGATGTCAAGTTACCTCTGATTCATAGAGACCTTTTGTATAACAGAATGAAATGTTACACGGTTCTGTGCCATCCTCCTGATGATATTTGAGTCCATTGTTTGGGTTATTGTGTCAGTCCATCTGTGGTAGTTAAGGTTATGTGTCATCTTGGCTAGGCCTGGTTTTGAGTGGGCAGCTGGATGTACTATTCCCCATGATGAGACTGGTATGGTAACCAACTCCGTGGTGGATTCCACTGTGAGCAGCTGAGTAGCTGCCTTAGGGAATATGGTCTGCTTCTAGTATATAAGGAGAAGCTTTAGGAATGGTCTGCAGCTTTTGGCATGCTTGAATCTTGCATGTAGCTGAATCATTGTTCAAGCAGACTGCCATGTTGTCTGCCAATCTTGGGACTCTGAATGGACTTGAATCAATGGCCAGCCATGTGGTTTGGTAATGTTGAGATTGTGCCTTTTTACTTTCTGACCTTGGGTTTATCAGCTTCAGCAGCCAGCAGATGCCTGAGTGAAGAAAGCCTCCAGCTTCAGTGGGCCAGGAACAAGAGGCAGAGCTGAAGCCCAACGTTGAGGAGCTTACACCCAGCTCCTAGAGGCTGACACTTTGAACTCAGATTTCTAGCCTCCAAAACTATAAGAGAATAAACTCCCACTGGTTAAAGGTATCCATTTGTGGTATTTATCCATTTCTGTTAAAGCAGCACAAAGTACCCAAAACACCATCTCATTGAGGGTTTTCACTGTCCATCTGCTTATCCAACTATGATGTCTTTTTCTAGCACTTGGTCTTTCTTAATGATGTGCCCAAAGTAAGTGAGATGAAGTCTCTCACCACCCTCACTTCTAAGGAGCATCAGGTTATATTTCTTCTAAAACTGATTTGTTCATTTATCTGGCAGTCCACAGTATATTCTTTGCCAACACCACAGTTCTAATGTAATATCTTTGTTCTCAGATTTAAATTTCAAATGAGGAATCTTCAAGAGGCAAGCTCCCAACCCCACACGAAAAGTGAATATCACAGGCTTTTTATTTTGCAAGGATAAGTTCAAATAATGAGTCATGATATGAAGTGAAATATACAACTGATAGAAATTAAATTCAAAAGAAACTTATATTAATAACTGCATGAATCATGTTAATCCTGGAATTATGAAATCATTGAGGTCCTGGAAAGGTAACTTTAACTTTTCATTTGTACTTTACTGAATTTAACTAGAATATAAGCTGCACATAAGGTGGCCATGAATCAAAATTGACTATGGCAATAGGCTTGGGCTTGGGCGATCGTCATAAGGGCAGGGACGTCTGTTTTATTTCATTGATGTTTCCCTAGAGGCTTGGCATAGAAAAGGCATCCAGTAAATATTTGTTGAATGATATAATGAATTCTTATGGGAGAAATCATATTCTACCATGTTTTCCCACATTCTGTGGTACTCCAAAGGAGAGGGCAGGTTTCCCTCAGAAGGGCCACAGCAATTCTAATACAGCAAATAAGCCAAGATGGGAGACAATAATCCCAAGCTGCTGAAGACAAGGCAGTTAAAAGGAGGGGGCTTGGTTAACTGTCAAGCTTTTGGGTAAATGTGTGGTATTATTTTGGTGGTGGTGGTATAAATGTTGTCTATACATGGCAGATGGGCATGAATCTTAGTCTACAATCCCATGTGCTCAAGAAATACACATTTAAACATTTACCTGTAAATCTCACTTTCTATTCAGAGCCTTATCTTGCAGGACTGAATGTGTTCTCTGTCATAATTGGGGACACACACACAGTTGTGCTTAAGGCCCTAGGTCTTTCAAGGGTTAATTAAGACTGGTTGCCACTGAGAAGCCCACTGTTCCAAGGCTTGGTCTCTTCCAGCACATTGGTTCTCATGATTTGAAACCATTATTTGGGTAACAAAGCCACTGTACCAAGTGCCCTTGAATCCTAGGCACCCCTATAGCCATCCTCTCTGAGTTTCTGATACCCTCAGGGAATGTGTGGCTCTGCTAACTCTGAGATCTCCATTCTCGTCTCCACTTCTGGGTTTTCCTTGAGCACTACTAGGCCACTAAGTCTTTCCTCTGGCCAGTCCTCCTAGAAACACTGCACAGTCACATCAATGAGTTCAGCCACCTCTGCTTTATCCTCAAGGCAAAGAAATACAAAGTCTGGCCATGTCCATGCAACTGGGACTTGAACAGAGAGATCATGGGGAGAACAAACAAATTATCTCAATAAACTATTTTGCCCCTACAGTACTGTGAAGCATTTCAACCACTCTTTATCCACAAGCCAATTAAGAGAATATTCTTAAGAGACACCCAATGACCAGGGGCCAAATATCCAGTGCTGGTAATATTTGCTCACACTTCAGTGACAATAAATTGCAAGCAAGGAATCTTGGGTATGTCACTCCTTGCTCCAAGCTTGCTTTAGCTGGAAGGCAGGGGAGGCTCAGTTGTTGCAAACAGACATTAGAATCCTAAGTGAACTCTCCTGGCTTCTGGACAAATCTTTTCTGGTGTGTGAACCCTTCAACCTTCTGTCACTGCAAGGCTTTCTTCCATTCTCACCTCAAAACCCTAAGAAGCTTCTCTGAAACTTCAAAAGTCACTCACTCAGACACTGCTTCGTTGGTTTGAATATAAATGTTCAAGAGCCTTGACATTTTCTATGGGGAGTCTTTAAGGAAGACTTCAAAGAAAGAGCTCTCCTGCTTTGAGAATTTCCCACATAAGTAATAAATGAAAATAATTGCCCCTTTACATGTGTCTGTGATCTCCTCCAGAGGGACTGGTTTATTAAACAGGCCTGTGAGACTGCCAGTGAATGTACCCATGAGTCTCAGCCATGCCTGGACCCAGGGGGTGAGTGAATGTGTGGCTATCAGAATCATCTAAGCTTCCAAAGGGCTATGTGACACTGTCACTGGGAAATCAGACGTTATCCTTCGGGGTAGATTATCATTATCCTTTATGAGTAGCAAATCAATTTTTTATGAAGAAGAAAAAAAAGTATGTTTTACTAAAGTAAATTCTGAAACAGTGTCTTATTTCTGGATAGGGCATTTTAACCAATTTGAGAGCCTCTTTATCACACATTTAGAAGAGAAGATAATGTTGGAGTTAAAAGGGAAAGCTTAGAGGTCAGCTAGTGCCCACCCCTCCATTTACGGCTAAAGAGACACAATGGGAGAATCTTCACTTTTGTCCTATATGCATTCATAGGAAACCCACTCCACTGCCATCTACTTAATTGTGACTCATAGTGACCCTATAAGACAGAGTAGAACTGCCCCATAAGGTTTCCAAAGCTGTAATCTTTATGGGAGCAGACTCCCATCAACATTCTGGTTAGCAGCCAAGCACTTTAACCACTGAGCTACCAGGGCATTATTCATAGGAAAAGGACTGAAAAAAAAAAAAAAATGAAGCAAATACTCTCTTTGATGAGGGGCTGGATATTGTGGTAGTTTTTTTTTCCTCCTTTTTTTTTTTTTTATTGAAAGCTCCCATCTATGCAAACTCCTCACTGTCTAAAGAACATGGCTCTATTATTACAATTATGTCTGATCCTCAGTGTTCTTCACAATAAAATCAATATCTACCACATAGAGCTTTTGAGAGGAATAAATGAAATAATACCTGGGAAGAACTTAGTCCATCCAGTTCCTGGCACATCTCGTCATTAGTTGTCATACAGTTAGTTAGTCCCCAACTCGTCCACCTGATCTCCAGACTTTCCTTCCTAGTGTCTCTCAGTCTGGAAGCTCAGCTAGCTGTTCAGCATCATAGCAATACACATACCTCCACTGACAGACAGGTGGGAGATGTGCATCAGGTGCATTGGCAGGGAATTAAACTGGGTTTCCTGATGGAAGGTGAGAACTCTACCACTGAACCACTACTGCCTGACCCTGGTACACAGTAAGTATTAAATGAATGTTAGCTACTAAGTGTAAGCCACAGCTCTGGTCCAGCTCTCAACCCTGGCTGTACATCAGAATCATCTGGTGAGTTTCTTCCAAAAGTAACTCAATCCCAAACCCAGTCTGGCAGATTCTGAGTTTATTGGTCTGGGGAGAGGCATGAGAGTCAGGCATGGTTCAAGGATTCCCCAGACAATTCTAATGTGTAACCAAGACTGAAAACCATGGCCTACGAGGTCTGTGGACAAGGTCAGGGATCATGTATCCTTATCCCTGACTAAATACAAGGCAGATGGTAAAGAAAGAAAAAAAAGAGGCAGAAGAAAACTTAGAATTTTATTATACTCACTCACTGCCTTTGAGGCGACTCTAACTCATAGCAACCCTCCTTGGGTCTCCAAGGTGGTATCACTATGGAAGTAGATTGCCCAGTCTACCTTCTGAGGAGTGGCTGGTGGGTTTGAACCACCAGCCTTCTGATTAGCAGTCAAATGCCTTAGGCACTTACATCACTGTTGTTGTCATGTGCCCTCGAGTTGGCCCGACTCATAGCAACCCCTCCTTGGGTTTCCGAGGAAGTATCACTACAGAAGTAGATGGCCCAACCTTCCTTCCGAGGAGCGGCTGGTGGGTTTGAACTGCCAGTCTTCTGGTTAGCAGTCAAGTGCCTTAGGCACTACGCTACCAGAGCTCCTGACTACATCACTAGAGCTCCTATTATAAGGTTTAAAGAGGAGGGTGATAACTAAATCTTTCATCAGTCACAAGTGTGTGGTTGCTGCAAAGGATAAATACTAATAACCAACTTAACTGAAATGAAGCAATTAGTAAATCTGCTTGAGTCTTATTAAAACAGTGGATTTCTTGTCTGTTAGTATAGCTAGGAAGACCTGTGGACACAGCTGAAAGACGTAGGGAAACACACTCAGACTTACAAGGAGGCAGTCATTTAATGCAGAAATCTAGTTAAAGACACAGAAGTGGAACGACAGACAAAACTTCAAACAATACTGCATAGTGTCACAGAATAGCTCTTATACACAGTTGACCTGTTTAACTTGTGACTTTGAGTCCAGTACAAAGACAGAGAAGAGACTTCAATTAAAAATAATAATAAGGCAACAGAAGAAGAATCTTCCTGTGACAAGGAACAGCCACAAATAATGTACAAGTATTTGGTGCTGACGCAAGAAAACACCATCAAGACAAATTCTGAAGATGCGGCATTAAAATTAAACAGGCATGGTACAAAGACAAGAAAATTATACTTGCTTTGTTATAAATCATTTTGCAAATCGGAATGACTCTCAGGTGATTGTTATATACAAACTTTCTGAAATAAATGAAAACCATACAAAGTATTCTACTGCCGTTTTCTCTTTTCTAAACCTAGAAATGTTCCATGGCATTGCTCTCCACTCCGCACAGTCACAGCTTCATAGTCATTAAAGCACTTGAATCCACAGTATTCTTGTCCTTAGAAAGGTCGAGAGGTTTTGCATGATTTTGTATCAGTCATCCAGGAAGGGTTGGCAGGCAACAGGTTGGAATGTTTTGATCACTTTGTGCTTGGGATCCTGACATGAGCTCCGGCTCCCTCCCCTCAGAAGTCTTCTGCACTGTGGCCTGGCCACTGAGCAGTGAACGTGCTGGCAGACAGTCATACCGTGGAGTCCCGGCCAGACTTTAGATGTGCAATCTTGGTTCGGCTAATAAACGGATAAGCGATGCAGAGACCTCCAGCTGTCACAATAAAGCCTAAACTGCACCAGGCGCAAAAGATGGACCAGCTGTAGCCATGTTCCACATCATCAGGCAGGCTATAAATTAGCTTTGGGAGCCGGTTCAAATCATAGGAGATACTGGCAGCATAAGTGCAGAGGGAAATGGTGCAAAATATGCCTATAAATAATACAAAGAGAACAGAATGATTGGTTACAGTTTTGCCGGCAACAAGGCAAATGCCACACTGGCCTTTGTCAACATTTGATCAGCCAATAAGGTGATCACTGCAACATAATAATCTATAAGTCTTTTACTTGAATTAATTCACTCAGCAAACATTGACAAACTTCTAAGTACCAAACACTATTGTTGCTATGTGCCGTCGAGTGGGACTCGACTCATAGCAACCCTTCCTTGGGTTTCCGAGGCAGTATCACTATGGAAGTAGATTGCCTAACTTTCCTTCCAAGGAGTGGCTGGTGGGTTTGAACCGCCAGCCTTCTGGTTAGCAGTCAAGTGCCCTAGGCACTATGCTACCAGAGCTCCCTATCAAACACTATACTAGGGATGAAAACACTTAACAAAAAAAAAAAAAAAGGAAAAAAACCTCAGACACATGTTATTGAGTTAATTTGAACTCATAGTGACCCACTAGGAAAGAGTAGAACCGCCCCAGAGGCAGTAACCTTTATGAATTACTTGGCTGTAATCTTTATGCAAGCAGATTGCCAGGCGTTTCTCCCGCAAAGCTTTGTGTGTTCGAACCACGAACCTTTTTAGCAGCCAAGTGAGTAATCATTGTGCCTCTAGTGCTGCTTTAAAGCAATATTAAATATTTTTAAAGGAGAAAATCTTCTGTAAACACTCAAACCTACTGAAAATTAGTTTTCATTTCTCTTTGTTCTATACCTGACATATTTTTTACACAATTTTAATCATAGTTGTAATACTGCCATGGTATTTATCATGTTGTTTATTCGCAGTTCAAATCCCCCCAAAGATGCCTCAGAAGAAAGGTCTAGAAATCTACTTTCAAAAGTCACAGCCTTAAAAACGCTCTGGAGCACAATTCTACTCTGAAATAGGGGGTTGCCAGGAGTTGGAGTCAAGTCAACAGCAACTAGTTTTATAAATATTTTTAATGAGTTTTTACAAATGGCTAAATCAGTTTCAGCTTTTAACACGCAGTAACTGGCATGTACTAAGCTCTCAACTCACGTTTTGAATGAATGAATGAATGCTTTTAAATAATATAAATTAAATCCAGGAATTTGGAATTGATATAAAATAGCTGAGAAGGAGATCATATATTTCAACCATTCAGAATAAAGTCAATTTAAATTTTATTTTTTCATACCAACACATGCATGTATAATTGTCCTTTCAGAATCGGAAATCAGGACTGTAATATGCTGCATGAGCCCCTGAACACAGGATTCTGAGTGACTCAAGTGATCCTTCAAAAGTGTAGCTGTTTCTGTTCCATTATTACAGACCCCCAAGGATACTCCTTTTGGATAGACCTGGGATCAGAATGAGGTGGCTGCTGAGCTGAAGTGGGGGTGGGGTTTGATAAAAACAGAAACTGGCACACAATCAAGTATCAGGATGTCCAGTTGTGCTCCAAATCCTACGTAGACAGCCCCATCTCTTCTTTATAATCTGGTTAATTCCTGTGTACAATCGGTGCCTCTGTTTTGTTTTAAAATTGCTTTGGTTATCTTAGGGATGTAGGCAGATCTCTGTAGGAAACAGAGACACAGATTTGGGAACTGGAAGGAAAGAGCTGAAAGTAACAAGTTCTATATATATATATATATTTGTAATAAATAGTTGGGGGATCACAAGCGCTAATAAAAAAAACAAGTTTTGGGAAGGTTGTAACTCAGAGGAAACAAAGATCACCTTAATGTGATTTTAAGTGCTGCAATTCTGTGTCCATCAAGCCTTGCCTAAATCCTTCTCCAAATGAGCATTTAGAAAGAAAATGGAGAAAAAAAGTTCTAAATTAAAAGGACATTTGATCTGAGACAATTTGATATTTCCTACTATTTGCCTAATTCTGTTTTTAAACTCTAAAGTGATGGGGGTTTTTTTTTTAGAAAGAATCAAATCTTGTCTTCCTTCTTCTTGCTCCAGATTATTACAAAACAACACATCACTTCGAGTTCTCCGAAGGAAAGGTCAAGATGGAACTATCTCTTTCATAAAGAAGTGGACCCTTCAAAAAGAGTACTTTGCTTTTCAAACCTCATGAAGAGCCAGTGCTCTTATTCACATGAATGTTTTCACTGGCACCAAAACAAAGACAATGTTTAGAGATAACAAGGTCCTTTCAACAAATGCTGGTAATAGAACAATAAGGCAGTTAGGGGGGAAGAATTGATCTCTGGGGTATCAACAGGTAAAACACAATAATAGAACAAAGACTTGTTCATAGGGAGAAAAGCACAAAGTGTAGTCTGTATTTAATTGTCTGGATGAAGCTGAATGCCTAAAAGCAAGGATTTTTTACAAGTGAAATAGTTTTAATGACCTCTGAAAGCTTGAGTTCAAACATAGTTTTTAAGCATCCTTTGATGTCCAAATGCATTGGGCAGGGATGCAGGAATCATGTATTCTAGTCTCCAACTCTACTACTAACTCAATGTACAACCTTGAAATCGCTTAACCTCTCTGAGCCTTAGTTCCTTCATCTAGGAAAAAAAAGAAACGGGGTTTGGTTATTGAAGTCCCATACAGCATCAAATTTCTGTGATTCTGTTCCAAACCATGGCATGAAGTAAGAACACTTCCCAAAACTTCTAGTGAATCTAGGACTCAGTGTTATGCAACTACATAAAAAATGGAATGTCATCTATGTTTTTCCTTCTGAATAAACACCCTTTAATTTTATTCTAAACATTGATTTTATTAGCACCTCTCCCCTGCCAACTCCATAAAATTGCTTTTGGTGAAATGAATTTTAGCATGACACCACCAGTTCATACTGAACAGAAAGCCATCATTAAAAAAATCCAATCTGAGGACATCACCAGGAGGGAGACTCCTTCTGTCCTTGGAGTCATGAAGGGTCATGCTTCTCCCAGTCCTTGATCTGCGCTTACCTTATGGACACTGCGAGCGACGTCACTGATAGAATTTTCTTTGTCTGAGTTGCATCTTACCTTGCAGACATAGGTGACCCTTTGTCTTATTATTTATTTTACCTGTATTTTATTTTGAAATATATGCATCTCTGTGCCACTTAAGTCCTTTTGGGAATAGGGCACTCATTAAACCTTCTTGGGGAACACTTTATTTCCTGCTAGCTTATTTATGCAGCTAAGGGTGGTGATGAGGGTAACTATTGGCCACAAACATGCTGTTTCTGCCCTTTTGCCTCCTCTCAAATGCCTACTATCAGTGACAGCTTTTCTCCTTTCCAGATGCTCCTGAAGTTGTTCTGAATAAAAGGAGAGCAAAGGAAAAAGATCAACAAGAACATACCTAAGAGGACTCAGCTTTTCAGACCCTCATATCTCTTAGAAAGTTTGCAAATGTATAGCTGCCACACTAGTATTTGGGGAATGGGCAGCACTGTTCCCATTTATTACAGAGAAAGGTGCTGAGAGCAGACAAAGCATAATTTTCAACAAGTTTTTTTTAATAAATAAATAAAGCCTTTTTATGTTGTTATGTGCCGTCGAGTCGCCCCGACTCATAGTGACCCCTCCTTGGGTTTCCGAGGCAGTATCACTACGGAAGTAGGATTGCCCAACCTTCCTTCCGAGGAGTGGCTGGTGGTGTTTGAACCACCAGCTGTCTGGTTAGCAGGCAAGTGTCTTAGCCACTATGCTACCAGAGCTCCCAAATAAAGCCTATTCCACTCAAATTTTTTTCTGAAAAATCTATTAATTCTAGGACATCAATAAAAGGTGTCATTTTAAATAATGAAAGCCTGATTGTTATATCTGGATTATTAGCTTTAAGTCAATTATGATATTTGTGGAACCATTTTCAGTTCCATACCCACATCTTACAATACTCACATGTAGTTGATGTGTGAAATGTAAATTTTACCTCTTAGTAAGATTTTACTATTTTAAATGTTATTTAATCTGTGATTCAACAATTATTATCTACTGTGTTCTAGATCCAGATCTGATTATAAATACTTTAGCTTTTTGAGTTATTGTCATTGTTGTTGTTGTTATTTGCCATCGAGTCAGACCCGACTCCTACCGATCCCTCCTTGGGTTTCCGAGGCAGTGTCACTACAGAAGTAGATTGTCCAACCTTCCTTCCGAGGAGTGGCTGGTAGGTTTGAACCGCCAGCCTTCTGGTGAGCAATCAAGTGCCCTAGGCACTACGCTACCAGAGCTCCTGAATTATTGTTAGTCACAGCCATAATTGGTCAGGAACCTAAAGTGTTCTTTCCACCTCTCTTCCCAGCATGCACCTCAGGGAAAGGTAGTAGGGTCCTCCTGGATATCCTGTAAGTCCCTCACTGTGTCTAAGAGAGCTGAGCACATGGAGTCAGTAAATTCTGCTAAATAGAATTGAGTTTTGCAACACCTTGAGTCCTCCAACAGCCAATTCCTCCTAAATTAGCTCCTGGTATAATACCACTTCCTTATTCATTATCCAGCCTTTGCATGCATATGAGGTGATTGAAAATACCTTGTTTTGAGTCAGGCTCACCTTAGTCCTGAAGGTGACATCTTTGCTTTTTAACACTTTAAAAAGAATAAGCAAGACTGAAGAAGAATTGATGCATTTGAATTATGATGTTGCCAAAGAGCATTGAGCATGGATTGCTAGAAGAACAAACAAATCTGTCTTGGAAGAAGTACAGCTAGAATGCTGTCTCACATACTTTGGACATGTTATCAGGAAGGACCAGTCCCTAGAGAATGACATCATGCTTGGTGAAGTAGTAGTTGTTGTTAGGTGCCATTGAATCAGCTGCCTGGTCCCGTGCCAGCCTTAACAATCTTTGCTGTACCTGAGTCCATCCTTGTAGCCTCTGTGTCAATCCACCTCATTTAGGGCCTTCTCCTTTTTCACTGACACTCCACTTTACCAAGCATGATATCTTTCTCCAGGGAATGGTCCCTTCTGACAACGTGACCAAAGTAAGTGAGACGAAGCCTGGCCATTCTCACTTCCAAGGAGCATTTTGGCTGCACTTCTTT